GGAGGAGGAGGAAGAGGAGGAAGAGGAGGAGGAGGAAATGAGAAGGAGGAGAAAGAGGAGGCAGCAGGATAACGAAAAGGAGGAGCTTTGGAGAGGGGAACCGAAGGAGGAAACGCGGCATGAACCGTGGTATCCTCGCGTCGTGAAGAAGTAGCGACGGGATATGTTTGCTGATTTTTGGCCTCCCGAAGCTCTCACAGGGCCCCTGGACCTGGGCCCCAGACCGTCAAATCATCACAGCAAAGCATTTTAATAGCAGCTAAGGTATAGAGGCGTGTCGAGGAGTAGGAGGTCGGCTAGTGAAAACGTGCATTTCCATATATTCCTTGGGATTCAGAGGGTTGACATGGTTGAGAGCATGGCCATGTGCACCGTAGCGTATTTTCTGGCCGTGTTCGGGGTGAGAACACGACCATGTACACCGCAGTCTGTTTTTTAGCAGGGGTCGTGGCCGTGTGACCTTGGTGGGAGCACGGTCATGTGCATCGTGGTGTATCTTGTTATAGAAGGGATCGTGGCCGTGTAACAGGGGTGAGAGCACGACCACGCGTACCGTAGTGCATTCTTTTACCCGGGGTCGTGGCCGTGCGACAGGGTTGAGAGCACGGCCATGTGCAGCGTAGTCTTTTAGTACAAGGGCTCGTGGTCGTGCGGCAGGGGTGAGGGCACGGCCATGTGCCCCGCAGTGCGTTTTTAGTTGCAAGGTGTCGTGGCCGTGTGACAGGGGTGAGAGCGCGGCCATGTGCTTCTTAGTGTAGTTTTTGAAACGGGGTGGTGGCCGTCCAGACCAACCGGACCAACACAGCACTCCGAGCTCCAGCTTGGCACCCCGACCTACAACATCCAGCATCCTGCGAGCCAACAGCGTCACTATCGATGCCAGGTCCGACACCAGCTCCGTCCCTATCATCGACCGCGTTACTCCATTTTTGCGGGAACGTTGCGCGGCACACGCGTCAGCTCTATTATGGACGCACGGGTGGACACCCTGTCCCTCTGGACCACGTGCCTCCCAGGGCTTCGGATTCCTTCATTTCCATGTCGTCGTCGTCATCGTCGTCGTCGTGGCCTCCCCTGGCCGCCCTGCCCTGACCTCTCTGGCAGCCCCCTTGCCCTGGCCCCCTGGGCCCCGTCCCCCGAGCCCTGGCCTCCCTGGCCTCCCTGGCCGCCCCTTTGCTCTGGCGTCCCTGCCCTGCCCTGGCCCCCTGGACCACGTCCCCCCGAGGGGCTTCGGATCCACTTTGTATCGTACCTACCGGTGTGATCTCGCATTGCACCATTTCGTGCTATTGTCGTATTGTCGTGTCGGCGCCCTTCGCGCCGCTGGCATCCTTGGTGTCCTCCCTGCCCTGGCTCAGGGACCCCGCCCCCCCCCCAGCCCTGGCCTCCTCCTGCCCTAGCCTCCCTGGCCTCCCTCTTGGCCTCCCTGCCCTGGGCCTCGGGATCCAATCGCACCAGCCCTGGCCCAGCCTCCTTGGCCTCCCTGGCCGGCCCGTCAGATTTTATCTTAGCGTCGTGTCGTCATCCCTGGCCGCCCTGCCCTGGCCTCCCTGGTGGCCTTGTTGCCCTGGCCCTCGAGACCCGCCCTCCAGCCCAGGGCTTCCCGTCGACTCAACAACGACGCTCCTTTTCTTCGCTCCTCACTTCCCTTGGGCCTGGAATCGCCGACGACGACGACGACGACGACGACGACGACGACGACGACGACGACGACGACGACGACGACGACGACGACGACACGGAAGTAAAGGAATCCGAAGCCTTGGGGGGGACAGGGTCCAGGGGACGTCGTCGTCGTCGTCGTCGTCGTCGTCGTCGTCGTCGTCGTCGTCGTGGTCTCGCCTGGCCTCAGTGGTGGCCCGCCGCCTGCCCTGGACCCCTCGCCCCCTTCTCCTCTCTCCCTCCCGCTTCCGTCCTCCCTCCCTTCTCCCGCCCTCCCTCCCTCTCCCCCCCCCTCCCTCCCTCCCTCCCCTCCCTCCCTCCCTCCCTCCCTCCCTCCCTCCCTCCCTCCCTCCCTCCCCCTCCCTCCCTCCTCTCCTCCCTCCTCCGTCCTCCCTCCCTCCTCCCTCCTCCGTCCTCCGTCCTCCCTCGTCCCTCCTCCGCCCTCCCTCACTCCCTCGCTCCCTCACCTCCCTCACTCCCTCCTCCCTCCTCCCTCCTCCCTCGTCCCTCCCCTCCCTCCCTCCCTCCCTCCCTCCCTCCCTCCCTCCCTCCCTCCTCCTCCTCCTCCTCCTCTCCTCCTCCTCCTCCTCCTCCTCCTCCTCCTCCTCCTCCTCCTCCTCCTCCTCCTCCTCCCTATCCTCCCTTTTCTCCTCCTCCTCATTCTCCTCCCCAATCGATCCATGGGGTTGGGACCCCCACCATTTTGGCAACGATTTGGGCACAGCGCCTACACGCGCCCTGCGTCCGCCGCTTCCGATAATCTGACTTGGGCACATGTAGATACGCCGCCGCCGCTCCTCCTCCTCCTCCTCCTCCTCCTCCTCCTCCCTCCTCCTCCTCCTCCTCACTCTTGCCTCCTCCCTCCTACCTCCCCCTCCTCTCCTACCTGCTCCTCCTCCCCTCCTCCTCCTCCTCCTCCTCCTCCTCCTCCTCCTTCTCCTGCGGCGCTTACCGCCGAGGAGGCCCTGTCCTCAGCGGCAGTAGTTCGGGATGACACGCGGTCCCCTCAGACACTCCAACCTCCTCCTCCTCCTCCTCCTCCTCCTCCTCCTCCTCCTCTCATCCTCCTCTTCCTCCTGATTTCCCTCCTCCTCGTTCTCCTCCTCCTCTTCTCTCATCACCTCCTCTCTCATCAGCTCCTCTCTCATCACCTCCTCCTCCCCCTCCTCCTCCTCCTCCTCCTGCTTCTTCTCCTCCTCCTCCTCCTCCTCCTCCTCCTCCTCCTCCTCCTCCTCCTCCTCCTCCCTCTCCTCCTCCCCCTCCCCTTCTTTGTCCGCAGCTTTCTTGGCTTCAGTGAGTGGACAGGATCCGGCCGCGGCCCTTCCGCGGAGCGCGAGTGTCATCGCGGGCGCAGCAGTGGATGGTCTCTCCGAGGCGGCGCAGGTGGCCTACGGAGGCGTTGCCGCTGTGCTGGCCGCTGTCGCTCGCGGTGGCGGCGGCGGCGGCGGTGGCGCGGGCGGCCTCACGGCCAAGCGCGCCTGCTGCCTGATGGCAGCGGCTGTGCGAGGCGCCGCGCAAGACGGTGCTGGAGGAATTGCTCCGGAGCTGGAGGCTCGGGGTGGCAGCGCCGCTCAGCCCTCCTTTCGAGTAGATGCTCGTAGTCCTCCCCCACGAAGTGCAGCGGGGTGCAGAGTTTCGAGTCGAAACCTGGCGCGTCTGCGGCGGATGCGGCCCTGCGCGAGCGTGGAGCCCAGGGCGTCGCCCCACGCCTGGACACGACAAGCAAGCTCCGCAATGCTGTTGGGCATCTGGGCGCGAGGCTGCTGCAGGACATCCGGGGCGTGTTCATGGAGTCGGCTTCCGAAGAGAACGTGCAGCTGGAGTCACATCAGACAGTCGAGAAGGTGAAGCAGACCGAGGCGCTAATGCAGGCCAATGTCTGCAGCGACATGCTCACCGTGAAGCCCTCCGACCCAAAGCTCGAAGTCAAGAGGCAGGCCTTGGACATGGAGAGCAGGAGGCACTAGTGCAAGCACATCGATGGCGGCAGGTTCCAGTTGAACGGATCTGCCATCGAGGGAACGGTACATACAGTAATGGGATCCCTTTGCGGACGGCACAACTTGCAGCCAAGACGGCATCCAGACGCGGCATTCGTAGCGGAGCACTTGCAACAGCAGGTCGTGACCTTCCACACCAAGCCGGACAGCAGCGCGGCGACGGCTTCCGAGTACAACGGCACGGAGTACGACGTAGGCTTCAACCGCAATGGCGAGCAAAGAAGGCCCTGCGCGAGGAGGATTGCATCATCCTGCCGCCCGTCACCGCTTTGTCGCACGTCATGGGCGCGGGCAGGGACACGGCTGATTTCGACGGCTAGGCAAGGGGCGAGTGCACGCGCTCCTTGAGATCGTGATGCACGCCCTGGTCGGGGGCACGGGAGTGTGGTACCTGCGGTGCTCCCATGGCCCCAGGTAGCACACTTTTTCCATGACCATCAGCTACAGGTGCTGAAGGCTATCGGGGCCGTCGACGCGGCACGGCACGGCATTCCTTCTGCCCTCGAGTGAATGCCTCCTCCTCCTCCTCCTCCCTCCTCCTCCTCCTCCTCCTCCATCCCTTCCCCTCCTAGATCACTCCTCCCTGTCGCACCCCGAGACAGGGCGGGCAGGGCGTTCCGCCCGAGATTTCCTCACCGTGTATCATCGCTGAGCGGAGAATGTGCAGCGGCTTCATGGATGGAGGGCGGGCCATTTTCAAAATGTGGTTCGCGATTTAGCGCCGCGCACATTCGTTTCAACCGTCTGCAAGAGCTTCACGGATCGAGGGCGGGTGGTTTTCAAAATGTGGCTCTTGCTTCAGCCCCTCGCACTTTCGTTATGCAAGTTTGCAAGAGTTTAACGGGTGGAGGGCGGTACCATTTCGGCATGTTGTTCTCGCCGTAGCGCCGCGCATATTCGTCTTGTAAGGTTGCCATATTTTCAAGCATGAAGTGCGAGTTGTTGCAAAACTTTAGCGGGTGGAGGACGGTACCTTTTCAACATGTGGATCTCGTTTTAGCGCCGCGCGGTTTCGTCTTAAACGATGCAAGAGTTTCGAGGGCTGTATCTTGTCAAACTGTGGCTCTCGCCAAAGCGCGCATGTTCGTTTTAACAAGTTTGCAGAAGTTTCGCGCATGTGTATGGGTGCCTTTCCAGAAATCGCGTTTTTGGCACGTTGCAGGACTGTCAGGGCGCAACAGTTACGTTGATTCGCGGTGCTGAAGTCCCATAAACGGTGTTCTCGCACGATTCAGGATCGCCAGGACGGACAAGTGGCTCCTGCCTCCTCCGAGCCTCCTTGCTGCCCCGGCCTCCGCCGGGCGGGCGGGGCGTGCCGCGGCACGCGGCCGCGGCCCCATGCCGACAGTATCCACCTGGGTCGCGGTGGCGGCGATCGCTGGCAACTACGGTGCGCCGTAAAGGTTTGTGAGGATCGAGGTATCGGGATTTTTTGATTGTGGTGTTTGAGGGGGCGCTCATTGGGCTTCTTGGGCAGCCGTCGGCTGCCCTTGTCGTCGCCATCGTTGTTTTCCTCTTTGTGTCCTCGTCGTCATCTGTGGCGTCGTCGTCGGCCGCGGTGTTTTGGAGAATGAGGAGCATGAGAGGGAGACGATGGAAAAGAAGGATAAGAGGGAGAAGAGGGAGAGGAGGAGGAGGAGAAGGAGGAGGAGGACCAGGAGGAGAAGGAGGAGGCTGAGAAGGAGGAGGAGGAGAAGGAGGAGCATGATGATTGTAGTTTTATTGCTGGTGCCCTCAGCGATAGGCATCGTCCTTTCAATTCGGGGGGAGCACATGGGCTCGGGGGACACATGGGCTCCCCCATCCTCGCAAGCTGTGCTTGGGAAGGTTGGGTGGACAAGCCTTGTGGTCCCGAAACCTGTCACAAGGCCCCTTGTAGGCACTTGGCATTGGCAGCATGCGCAATACGCATCCGTGTGACAGACACCTCTGTTTTTGTGAAGGTCAACGTGGCGATGCTGGACCGCTGGCATTGCTACGGGGCTGGTTTGTGGGTGCCGGTACATCCGGCGGGCGTCACCTTTGGGAGTACGCGGGGCGAGCTCCACGGCGGCCCATCCCGCCACCTGCCTTACGGGCCACGTGCGGGGGGGAAGGGAGACTGCTACTTCCAAGACGAGACGGATCGGCAATTTTCGGGGTGGCATGAGGCCCTGCTCCATAGCAGGCCTCGGCGCCACCGTGTGTAGGAGTGACGTGGGGGGCATGCTCCACGACTAATGGGGGACCCACTCGTCGGAGGCCGCCCGCGAGGCTTTGCCGCCGCGACCCCCCCTCTCCAGGGAGCCCTCTGGGAAGCGAGGCTTCGACTCCCCCCAAAGAAGAAAAACGGCATGCGTCCAGCAGGTATGCGAGCAAGGCACACTGCCCAGACCAAGCGCTCGCACGCGTGCGGGGGGCAGCACGAAGCGACGCATCAGCTGGACTGGCTGTACTCTCGCGCTGCTCGCCTCCACGCGGTCGTCAGGATGGCGGCAATGTCAGATAATTGCAACCCAATGTGCACACATGTGTGCAGAGCGTGTTCGTAAACTTCTCTGGGCCAGACCGCGCGGCCCCCCCCCCCCGCACACACACATCGCCAAACTAGGACAGCTTTTTCTCCCCCCTTCCCGTCGGTGCACCGGGATTCCCTCTGGTACGCCGAGGGGGGAGGGGGCGCTGCACCATTTTCGACGTTCACAGTGAGCGGTGACCGACTCGGTCTCCGCGGCGAGGAGTGACTTACTAGGCCCCCCGCAATGAGGGGTGACCAGCCAGGTCCCCGCCGCAGCGGGGTGACCAAGCAGGCCCCCCAACGCGAGGGGTGACCCGTCAGGCCTCTGTTGTGAAGGGCGGCGCCCGAGGCCCCCAACATGAAAAGGTGACCAAGTAGGTCCCCGCCGCGAGGGGCGTCGTAGTAGGTACCCGCCGTGGCCGGTGACCAATGAGGTCACCCAACAGGGGGATAGATCCGCTGAGGTCCCCGCCACGGGGGATGACCACGTAGGTCCCCGCCACGATGCGGTGACCAATGACGTGATCTCCAAAACGGCAGGCCCCCACCAGCTCTTCAACATAGGATCCCACAGGCTGCAAGGCGAGGAACGTTTGAAAGCCATCCGAAAATGTGCGATAGAAACCGCTACCCTCTCGATCGTCGAAGGCACGAGGGCAACCCTTCAAGTGGGCGCTCGAAGACCTTTTGAACCTCCCCTCCCCTCTCGATGTACGGTCGCGAACTTTTGCGTAGCGCGACGCTCCGACGGGCTATCCACGTCCCCATTTCCGAGCGTCAACGTCCCGAGCTTGGCCCAGCCTGTCCTACCGCGAAGCGGAGCGACACGCAGCCCGCTTGCAAGGCACAGCACGTCGCCGGGGCCGCCGCCGCGACACGCTACGCAAACGTTCCCGACCGTCGGGGGGCCCGGGGCAGAACCTGGCCGCCGTAGAGGCGGCGGTCCCAGGGGCCTGCAGCGGGTCCAGGCTCTGGCAGGGGTTGGGCTCGGTGGTGCCCGTGCGGCCCCGCCGCAGGTCCGCGGCTGTTGGGGAGGCGCGGGAAGCACATGCGGCTGTGTCGTGGCCGCTCGCCGGAGGGACCCTTGGTGCGCAGCTTTCGGGGGGCGCAGGGGGCGCGGGGGGGGGCTGCCAAGCCCAAGCACGCAGGCGGCTGCAGTCGCGTTGCACGCAGCGGAGCAGCAATCAGCGCAACAGAGGTCACTCTTGCCCAGGGTCACTCCCTGCGTGTCGCCGGAGGGATCAGGGCCCCAGTGGGGCCCTGCGACGGGAGCGGCGGTTTTGGGAGATCGTGCTTCCTCGCCTCGCCTCGAAGGGGATGTCTCGCCCCCCCGTCCCCGAGTTCCGCTCGAAGGGTTCGGCCGCTCAGATGAGGGGGGAGAGCTTTGGGAGACACCCCTGGGAGGCCCATTCGGACGCACCCCTGTCATGGACGCCGCCCCCGTCGTAGATCCCCGAGTTTGGGCCCAAAGTTCTCTCTCTCTCTCTCTCTCTCGCAAACACACAGAGCCGCGCCTGGACGGCGCATCGTCAAAAATGGCAGGGTCGAACACATGTGCAGCACAACGCTTCGAAGAATTAGCGTGCAAAGAGCGCCCCTCGAAAACCCGACAGGGTCGGGGATTGGGGTCGGCATGCCCCCTGGTTAGATCGTGATCCTCCTCCTTTCCCTTCGATGGGAAACGGACACCTGCAGTTTCTTCTGCCAGCGCGGCTTGCTTTCAACAGGCGAGGCGTTTACGGTCGGGGCGTTCAAGGAATATACCCAGGAGGCTTCAGACCATGGAAGATTCCTTATCTGATGAGGGCGGCGGTGATATCCATGGCCAAGCCCCAATCGGTGCTCCACCAGGTTTTCACTTGTTCCTTGTCCAATGCCCTCGCCGTACCACACGTGCGCAGGACAGTTTCTGACCTGGAGGGCCAAATTTTTCTCCGAGCGTGGGATCGGGCGGGCGGCGTGTCTCTCTCGCGGACATCCGACGCCAGTGCGCCCCGTCCCGCCTCCGCCTCCTCCCAATTTGTCAAGTGTTTCTCATGTTGTAGTTCTCCTTTCAGCCTCCAACTGCCACCTCTCAAGGTCTTTAACATCTCCCTCCAATCATGGGCAACTCTGTATTGGAGTGGCCTGACGGCCGGTGCCGTCGACCCTGATCGAAAGGGCTAGGAGCGGGGGGAGGAAGCGGAGGATGAGGAGGAGGAGGAGGAGGAGGAGGAGGAGGAGGAGGAGCAGGAGGAGGAGGAGGAGGAGGAGGAGGAGGAGGAGGAGGAGGAGGAGGAGGAGGAGGAGGAGGAGGAGGAGGAGGAGCATCCTTTGTGTGCCCGCTCGAAGAAAGTGCGCCCCGGGAGTGTGATATTCTGACTTGGGACGTGCTCCCGGAAGAGAAGAAGAGGTGCATCTCGGGCGTGCCCGCTCGAGGAAAATGCGCCCTAGGGGGGTGGTATTTTGACTCGGGGCCCGCTCCCGGGACGCCTCTGCGGGAGGAGGAGGAGGAGGAGGAGGAGGGAGGAGGAGAGGAGGAGGAGGAGGAGGAGGAGGAGGAGGAGGAGGAGGAGGAAAAGGAGGAGAGGAGGAGGAGGAGGAGGGAGGAGGAGGAGGGAGGAGGAGGAGGAGGAGGAGGAGGAGGGGGAGGAGAGGAGGAGGAAGTGCATCCCGTGCGTGCCCGCTCGAAGAAAGTGCGCCCTGGCGGGCGTCGTATCTGGACCGCCCCCCCCCCCCCCCCCCCCTGCGGGGAAGGGATCAAAGGGAAGGGGCTTCCCGTCGACTCCACTACGACGTCGTTTAATTTCGCTTTGGATAGCGCGCTTGAGGAGTAGAGCCCTGGGTGGGGGAGAACGGAGACGACGGAGACGACGAGTCGAACGGAAAAAACCCTCACACACGCCGACAGGGTCGGCGGATTTTCCCAATTGGTAATTGAGCAATGGTTCGGGCAACTAAGTTTGCCGCCGACCCCGCTCCTGATTGCCAAGCCAGAGCTTTGGGAGGGGAGGGAAGCCCGTGCAGCATTGAAGACCTCCTGTGGTGAACTTGTTTCTGTCCGCGTAATGGAGTGCCGTCAACAAACGAAGGCAACAACAATTTAATGGCCACGACAAGGGTATATCAATACCAGCAACCAACACATTGGAGCGACGATGTGTGAGAAAAGAAGATTCAGAAGTATACCAGAACACAGCAGCGCAACAATCACAAGGCTCGCATTGGTCATATTCCGAATGAGCTCAAGTGATTACGACATATCAGCGGCATCAAGAGTGCGAAGTGTGAGGAATCTTGATGCCAGAGTCACCCACTCCAGAGAGCTGGCAATGCAACCAGATCAGCATATTGTTCACATCTGGGGATGCGTCTTTACCCCAGAACTACAGACCGATCTGCATCATTCCGATGATGCACACATTGCCTTTTCGATTGCTGTACAAACGTTTGGAACCAATTCTCGACATATTTCAACCTTCAGAACAGGCCAGTTTCTGGATTAATTATTCCACAGATGACCATTCGCTTGCGCTCACAATCCTCATCTTTAAAAGGGAGGGAATGGACAATTCTGATTTGGGCGGCCACGTTGGATTTCAAAAAGGCCATTGACACAGTCTCCCACGATGCTATTTTGAAAGCGTCGGAAGACAATTTGGTGCCAGCACCGCACATCAACCTGATTAACCTGATTATTGCCAGCACCCACGCCTGCGATTTGCGTTGGCACCAACGCGAGCGCCAACACCAACGCTGGCGCCTACTCCAGTGCCGATGCCAGCACCAACTTCGGCGCCTACGTCTGTACCAACGCCAGCGCCTACACCGGCACCGTCTCCAGCGCCGACGCCAGCACGTACACCGGCGCTTGCGCCAACGCCGACGCCATCACCGACGCCAGCATCCACGCC